TCCGTACCTCAGTTATAATTCTACATAGCCCACATAGCTCAGGCTACTGCCTAATTGTTACATTTCCTCAGTAAAGTGTGTGATTTGTTTCATTCATTTAAAAATGTCCGAGAAAGCGTGAGGTTAAACATTGTTTATTCGAATTTATATAATTCCGCCCAGTCCTTCCGTCTGTACCTCAATTTGCTGTATTTACGAGTATTTTGTAAGTTGTTCTATTTTGACGAGTACGTAGAGTATTTCACCTTTCCTCACCCAGAAATGATAAATAGTCAACTTCCCCTTGCAACATCAGTACATTATACAGCAAACTGAGAAAAGAAGACCTTATAATCTTCAGGGTGTCGTATTGATATAACACCAAATTCCCCTAGCTATTTCAGTTTGGAAGAAATTTTCGTCTATATCTAACTATAAAGAGCAGCTTAAGTTATGCATTGAATGTCGGGTAATTTTCCTTTTACAATTTCTGAAATAAATATTTCTCAAAAATACGGTATGAGGAAATAATCATAACTGGAAAGGAAAGAATAATGGACTCGACAAAGAAATTTAAAATGTCTTATAAAAACAATTGATGAGAAAAGTTAGAAAATAAAATTATTTTCCTTTTTCAAGTATCCTTGCAAGAAACAGCCTTTATAGGCAATCGAACAGAAACCGTTTATGAGACTATCAGTGTGGGTCTCGCTGTTGCCAGTTTCCTTCAGTTTAACACACCAAACGTGATCAACATGTAATAGAGTTCTACAAGCAATTCTTAGTTTTTCCAAAACAACTCGGTACTGGGGCCTGTTTACATGGATATGGGGGAGCCAGGTGGGTGAGGTAACCCGCTTAGCCGTGGTCGCAAAATAGCTCGCGTTCACATACAATCTCACAACCTCGGGATGCCAGGGTGAAGTTTCTCGAGTCTAAGTGGCTTTGGCATTTTACTCAGTCAGAAATGTGATGATCGATCTTTGAGTAAAACTATGCCGATATCACTTCATGACGAAGGTGAAGTAGAGCTGCGAGGTGCAGAAACTCCAGAAACAGATCATTTTTTCAATGGCCGATCTACTCACCGAGCCTGAAATCATCATTGTTCCTGAACGTAGCTTGTATCGAGTCCCATTTGCAGCCTTGCGTGACCAACCAGGCGGAAAGTCTTTATCAGAGACTTTCAGGATCGACATCGTCCCTTCTCTGACGACTCTGAAGCTCATTCAAGGATGCCCAAAGGATCATCACAGTCAGACTGGTGCGCTAAAGTTGTGGGTGATCCCAAAGGTGGGCAAGGTGCGTTACAAGGGAGAAAACCTCGACTGTTACAGATTTACCCGGTGCGAGAGAGGAAGCAGTTCGCTTGGTACTAATTAGAGTCTAACGGATTCATTGAGGTTAATATTGGTTAACCCTTAAACCCGTAAGAGTGACTGGCATCTAATTTCTCCTTACCATATCACCTCTGAATTGAACCTGAAGGTCAGGAGAATAAAGGAGCTGATCACCCACCAAACTAGATCTTGATTGTAAGACAAATTCTCCGTGTTGGTATCCTAGGAAATGTTTAGAGAACAGTATGGCGAATATGCATACTGATTTTAGGGCGTAAAGGGTTAAGGTGTAAGGTCCTCTTTTCGTGCATTTGTCGGTTTTACCATGTGATAGAAGAGAGGAAAACATTGCAAGACTTCAACCCGTTGCTTGTAAATCAGACGACCCATGATAGTAGTTGAATAAGACTCGGAAGAATTTTTGGGTGTAAGTTTTAACCGGAGTCAAGAATTTTAAGCTAATCAACAGGTAATAACTTTTCCCTTTTCTTTGTGCCATTTGTTGAAGCAAGCCCTTTCAGCAAATAATGGTTACATTTGAAATTTGAATGATTGGTTTTTCTAAAAAACCACAGAACTCATACATTGATTTGTGTTGATTTTTTTCCCTACCTAATTAGTGTTACAGATTGGTAAAAGAGAAGGACTATACTTTAAGACTTTCTTCGGTTAGATGCGAAATAGTTCACCCTCGGTATAGGTTAAAAAGGGAAACTTTTTAGGTGCAAGTTTCAACCGGGGTTATAATGCATAAAAGAAGAGGAACGATTCATAATAAGGGTAATTTTCAGGGTTCCTTTGGATTGGCTTTATTTCGGTCTGTGATAGATAAAATTCGTGTTCTAAACCAATCAGACGCAAAACGGAAACCAATTATGAGTGAGTTACTAACGTTTTCTCGTCCGCACTTGCCTGTTTTTACCTGGAGTCCTCATAGGCTAATGATGACACCAACCTTTGTTGTGATTAAATGATGTGATTACTTCCGCTTTGGTATTGCGACAATTTATCGAATACTGCTCTGTTTACAATTTATTCTTTGGGTAAACCGAGTCATTGGATCAACTTAATCATTTATTGTGAATGATTCTCATCTATGTGAAAATATTTGAATTCACCAAATTACTAAGTGAGATTCTAGTGCAAATTGTATCTTCTTTTCTTCCCCATAAAATAATGGAGGATTTTCCCCCCACCCCTTATAACTTTCAACCTGTAAGAACCTCTCCAAGCTTGGTAGTAAATAACTTTCCTTAAGAATAATTATCCGTGAAACTTTTAGTCATTATGACCACAGGGACACCAGATGAGAAATAAACAATGATTGGTTGAAAATTTTAACTCTCTCTTGCGATTGGCTGGGCGTAAGGGCGTAGTTCCGTAGTGGTACAAGATATACGAAGGGAACGAAAGTAAACAATGTCATAATTTTGGTATATTTTAATTTACTGTTGCAAATCTTTTCATTCAAAGAAAGAATTTGAAAACGTTTTAACCTTCTGAGGTGTTCATATGTACAAATGTTCTCACTTTTATCAATTTCTCCTTTTCTTTACAAACTATTACAAGAGGAGAAGGAAGCTTTTTTCCACACATTCCTTTGTCTTGCTCTATTAATTGCTGAACACAGTTTTTGTTTTTTTAAAAATCCACATGTTCAACTGCATCGTCTCTAAATAAAATGCTGAGCTAGGTATATCGTGAAAGTTCTTCAAACTAATACAAATGTAAGCATCCATATAGTTGTCTTTTCGACAACTTATTTACGGCTTTGAGAACTATTGTGCTTAATAATAAAATAAAAAATAGGTTTATCTTAGGCTGCTGACAAATCTGACTCTATGGAATGAACCGTCTGAATGCCATGTCAAATTTCACTCCTGAAATGTGTGTTACTCTGAAAAAATAATCCAAAAATAATCACAAATAATAAACTTCAAAACTATTACAGTACATCGACAAAGATGTTGAAAATTTTGTTCTGATCGTGGGACAAACAAAAAACTCTGTAAAACTTCAAGCCCCGCCCTTCCGATTTGGTGGAGATGTTTTAATAACAGAAACCTCGTTGGTGTGATAGACTATAAACTAGTTTCATGTGTGACAAGTGTCTCTTGCTAGGATTACGGGGAAAAAAAAAAAAAGAAAACAGATAAGTTTGCCCGATTACAGCAACAGTTTCTATGGTTATCGAATATTTTGCTGAATACTTGGTAGAGACTAGTGAACAGCAAATAGAACCAGCATTCTTGAGTTTTCAAGATAGCATTCCCCTTTATCATGTTCACATACTGCAAGACGAGACACCGCAACCACTACTGAGTAACTTAGAAATTTCAGGTCACTCTGGTCGGTCACTTTCACGACCACAATAAGACTTGTACTTGATGCAAGGTGCTGGGAAATTGAATGGTAAGCAACGATCAACTAGTCTTTGACCACAGAATCTTTGGTGTCTCATGGTGAAGGTACCATACCTCTCTCATATCTCATGTTTCCTGTTTCCCTTTTCCTTTTTGCATTGTCTGCTGGTTTCTTCTCTTGCTTTGTTTGTGTCTATCAAGTGGATCGTTTTTCCAAGGCAACCAATTGATATCTGCAATGGAATAAAATTTTCAAAAGATTTTTAGAACACAACTCAGTCTAAATTCAGAAATTTAGTTGTAAAAGTTGTCACTTATTAAGTATTAAGCATGATACGATCGCAAGGATTAAATTATGCATGTGATTGATAGCAAATCGCTCATCAGGAAGTCGAAAACAAAAGAATAGAAATTGGAACATGAGTGTTGTACAGTAATTTGCTCTGTTTTGGATGTCTTAATCCCTAATTTGTCATCCAGCGTTTCTTCCTACCATACAAAGGACCCACTGGCACAATGTGGTAGACCCAATTTGCACTGTTCTATCAATACAAGGTGATCTTAACTTATTTCACAAACATTTGCGGGTTTTTTATAAAAGCTTATGGAAATAAAAGCATAAGGCTGTAAAACGCCATAAGTAAAAAATTCTTAGACCCTCTCTCATTTGGCCTGTCTCGTCAATTAACTCCCAAAGGTGATTAACACATCAACTCTCCCTACAGTAACAATGGGTTTTACTAAAAATGGTGTTGAGATTAGAAGAACATATCAGTAACAGCATTGTTACTCTGATAATCTATCAATTCTCTAAAAGTATTTACAAAGAAATGTGTAACAGTTGAAAGGAAGAATTTCAAATCAAATCTTAAGGGAAGTGACTGGCAGCCCGGTCAACCAAAGTAGCTGTATATCTACAACCTAAAAGTTTAGGGCACGTACATGTAACCTCGCTTCTTTCTATAACAGGTGAATACATTAAAAAGCATGTTCATGGTTATTCAAAATCAATTTCTGTTTTCATTGACTTCTTTCGGTATAAAATGATCTTACCATTTGACGAGTTGGTGGATGTTGGGGGTTTTGATGTAGGTCGAATAATAAACGTCGCTGAAGAGGGCTTGGGACCTGTAAATTTTGGGAACATTTTGGCGAATATATGACATATACAAGTCACGATAAATGACGCAAGAGTCACGATCGCAAAATGAATTGTGACTAGCAAATGTTTCACTCTGTTTGTCTCGTGGTAAGTAGCTTGTCGTTCTCCGCCGGCATTCTCAGTCTTAAAAGCGGATATGTACGCTGACCACCCGATTTCCGTGTTAGCTGGCTCTTTCTGGCAGTTGTTTCTCCGTGGTTTGGGCGAATTGAATAAAAACTTGGCAAAATAATTCTTGAAACATCTCTGTTCTGTAAGCAATAAAATGATAGTCGCAATAAATGTCAAACCAATCACAATCGAGATCAGCAAGTGTTTTGAGGCTTCTCTTCTACCGGTGGCATTCTCAGTCTTACAAGGAAGTGTCCACACTTTACGGCCGTTTTCCTTGCAAGCTCGCTCTTCCTGGCTACTGTTTGTAAATGGTTGTATACCTTCATTTTCGGCTGAAAATTGTTTGATAACTTTGGAATCTGAATCCTTCATATGGTGATTTACCAAACAGCTAATACTCAAGTTAGGTCCTGAAGAGGTTCCTACACTATGTATCAACCTCTTCCAAGCCCTCAAGCATTGGGTACTGCGTAACGTCCGCGGTTTAATATCTGGTTGTCGCGAACCATCGATTCCGCATTGTTCAGACGGATGAAATGTTTCAACTTGTTGCCCGACAAATTTTAAGACAAACTCGTGGAAATTAGTTGAAAACTCAAGATCGCGTTCTGCGTAATAATAACGTATGTTTTCGTCTTGCTCCAGAACCCTTTTTGGCCTGCCTCTCGCTTCATCTGCAACAAAGCAACCAGAGCATTTGTGGCCTTGGCGTAAGTCAATGCAGCTCAGATTGAAGAAATTTGGTCCAAAATGTTCGAGGAAGCTTCGCCCACTGCTTACATCTCCATCTATGTCTGGTTTGGGGTAGTGGCACGCTTGTTGTAGTTTCTTCTTTAACACTTGCATGTGTTTTTGCGAACAGATGGGGATGTTTGATGATATCAGTTCAAGATTGTATTCATCTCTTTTTACACCTCTTCTCTGTTTGCATGCGACGAAACAAGGCGGGAGCAAATTAAAATACAAACGAGAATATTTTCGGCAGTCATGAGGAACACATACATAGCTGTCGTTCGAGCTACTTGTGATAGAGTCTGACGGTATCGTTGTATGGAAAGAGGGCGATAAACTTGAGGCATTAATGGTACTTCGATGCTTGTTTCCATCAAACTCGCTGCTTCCATTCTTCGGTGTACCAACTTGGAGAGGATCTTGTCTGATTTGCAGTGGTGTATGTTTAGAAATATAGTTCATGTTAACATCGCGTTGAACTCTCGTCAAAGATCCCAAAGAGCGACTTTTACCACGTCTTGAAGAGAGATCAAGAAATTCCACGATCTCTTGATGGCCACTTTCAATAGCGCAATCCAAAGCAGTCTTGCGTGAGTTATCTAAAGCTGATACTTGGCTTTTATGTTGTACAAGGACCTCTACGATGCGTTTATGTCCTTTTCGAGAAGCCAAATGAAGTGCGGTTTGTCCAAATATATTTGCAGCATTGACATCACTGCCATGCTGTATCAACTCCTTCAAAATGTCTTTGTATCCGTTCTCTCCACTCTCTGCAGCCAAGTGAAGAGGGGTTTGCTTAAACACATTTACTGCACCAACAATGCTTCCAAGTTCTAGAAGTAATTTCACAACGTTTTTGCGCCCAGTCTGAGCAGCCAAATGGAGAGGTGTCTGGCCTAAGAGATTTCCTTCCTGGATATCACCTCCATGCATTATCAAGGAGTGTACAATGGTATCCTGTCCACTCTCTGCAGCCAAGTGAAGCGCAGTTTTCTGGGAGTTATCTCGAGCACTTAAATCGCTCCCATGTCGGATTAAGAGTTCCACCAATCTCTCAATTCCTTTAACCGAAGCTAAATGAAGGGGAGTCCGTCCAAAGTTGTCTCTAGCCTTCAAAGCACTGCCACGTTGAGTTAATATTAACATTTTAAGCATCTGTTCTTGTCCTTGTATTGCAGCCAGATGAGCTGGAGTACGTCCAAACACATCTCCTCGTTGGGAATCGCTTCCACGTTGTAATAGCATTGCTGCAATTTGTTGGTGACCATTCCATACGGCCAAGTGAAGGGGTGTCTGCTGTTGGTAACTCTTAGCGTTGACGTTACCTCCTAGTTTGGTCAAAACATCTGTGAGACCTATGAAACCAAATTTTGCTGCTACATGAAGCGGAGTTTCCATGCGGGAATTTGGAGCATCCACATTCAGCCCACATTTCAGTAGAAGTTTGGAAAACTGAGTGTATCCATTACCAACGGCCCAATGAAGAATTTGATTCTCTATTAGTAAACAAACAAGGTAACAATTAAGCGCATGTTAAACTTGTATCTCAGAAAGAGAAAATTTCCCTTAACCTCGATTGTATCCAAGTTACTGACTAAGCATGCACAGTGTAAGGGTATTTTGACACGTTGCTAAAGTTAAATTACCTTGCAAATTCATGAGAATAGTCGTACCATGCTCAACAAAACTTGGAAATGTCTTTGATAAAAACGTAGCTGTGATTTAATATGGGATAGTAACAATGATTCATCGAGAGAAGATTGTTGAAAATGTTTCAGAGAATCGCCCCTCGTATTCTTGAAGCATGTTTGATTCAAGAGGCCGAGCCCAACAATCTGAAAGTAATTTAACATTCTAAGTTTATGAAGTTTGGAAACACACGTACCTCCAAGCTTGATTCCGGCTAATACTGTCACCAAAGCAGCGGTTAACAGAATATACCTCACACGAGAGGCTGTCTCAAACTTTATCCAGTGGCCGCGTTGTCGATGTTCTGTTACGAAAAAAGTGTTTGTATTTACTGTTAGTACTAGGACAAAAACAGTGAAAACGGACAAACACCCTCATGATATTCATCATTCCTCTGTCAACAAAGAATCGTGATACGTTATGTAGGTTAAACAATAGGGTTTAAAGCAACAAAACTCCCAGAAGTATTTCAAGCGGATGAACAACCTTACGATAAATCACAACTCATCATTTGAAATTATCTTAAACGATACAATTCTCATAAGCATTATTTTCATTGTCACTTCCACATCACAATCATTGTCAATACCATTGTCATCATCATTATCATCTTGTCCTTGTCACTGATAGTGTAGTTATTGTCGTTATCACCATAATTGTAATTCACTTATTCACTTTACACATCTTGTTAAGAAATAAGATGAAGTGGAAATCTTACTTTTTGACTTAGTCGTTTTCTCCTGACGTGAGGATTCTGCGGCATATTTTTGCCTTGAACTACCGTCATCTCTCCTTTTAGTTCCCTTATTCTGGCTCACTGATCCCATTCTTTCAGCTTGGAGGGAACACACATCTTGCTGCTCTGCAGATGAATCATCTTCTCTTCTGGACAGCCATTGAAAGAAGCTACGCAGTAGAGGTAGCCTTTTGTAAGCTGGGAAGTTCACAACGGAAGACTCCTCACAGATGCTAGGACTCTCAATGTCGTCCGGACAGTTACCAAACACGGCTTCATCTCCAAAAGATTCTTCGGTAGCGGCATTTTCTTCAGAAAATCGTGACGAATTTTTGGGAAAT